ATAGCCAGCTTTTTATGCACAAAATTGCCCTGCAATTAGAATTTTCAGGAGTGTGAATGGGTGCGACTTGGACTATTTTTGTAATTCATTAAGTAAATTTAGAAATCGTGTTAAGTTTAGTAATTTGTGTTAATAGTAATTATTGTTGTCAAAAACGAATTTTAGACTATGCTTGCCTTTTCTTATTATTTTGTTACTGTATTATTGTGAGTATATTTAATGATGTGTCTGTATTTGAGTAAGACGATTTTGGAGCGGTATTTTTTTGTAACATCGTGTCGCGCTCCACAACAAATCTGTAAGATGTTACTGAAGAACGACGATCATAATAACGACAAAACTATAAATTATTTATAACTTGCAAATAAATTATTTATAATCGCTCTTGGAGTTAGCTCGAACCGCAGTAACTACATAATGCCGTGTTTCGCTCCAGCCGTCGGGCTCCTAGGGTCGCGATTTCGTTGGTCGCGAAGAGTAGTAACTGGAACTGGTACGGAGCGTCGCGCGATCCCGACCGCTTCGTCTGTCGCGAAGAAATGTAACTGGTAACGACCTAATACCGCGACGTCTTTCACTCCAGTGCAGGTGGTCGCGCGACTGCTGGAGCGCTCGTAGGGTCGAGTTTTCGTCGGTCGCGAACAGTAGGAACTGGAACTGGTAAGTACGTAGCGTCGCGCTTTGATCGGTTGCTGTTGGCGTTGATGCTCCCGCTACAGTCGTTACGTTACTTTTCGCGATTTTCTATAGGTTTAGGTACTAGGCATTTTCGATTGATAATAGATAGATATTTAGATAGTTACAAATAAACACTTTTACACAAATACGAAAAAACAAAGAAGAAATATGACCGCAAAAAAAAAGAATTTGTAAAGCTACTTTCAATTGATTAAAGATATAATCCCAATTAGAGTTATATAATCTGCAAAGAAACAGAATTACATTTTAGGCCAGTAAGCGAGGGTTTTAGGGTCCGAATTCTGAACACTTGTACCGATTGACTTGAAATTTTAACAGTGAATAGAGATATATGTAAGAAACAAAAATTACATAGTAGCGATGCGTGCTTTCACCCTGGGGTGAGTGGTTCTCGGGGGTAAAAAATAAATCACCCATTATAATTGCAAAAATCAATAAAGTGCTGAATTCTAAGCAAAAAATGTTCTATAACATTTTTTCAGAAAATTAATATTTTCCTAGTTATTTAGGATTGAATATGTTAATTTTTCATTTAAAAACTGCATATTTTTCTGCCATTTTTTATAAATAACTCGAAAACCTGGCGGTTTATCGCTAAACCCATATAAATCAAAAGTGAAGCTTTTGGAATAACTAAATGATTACCGTAGGTGTAATAATACCCGAGTTATAACTCTGTAAAGGTGATTTTTTATTTTTCGAAAACTAAATTGCAACATTTTACCGTAAAATAATGGCGAAAGAACATATTTTTCGAAGAAAATGAGTATGACCGTTTTTAAAGTGCTTGAAAAGACCTTTTAAATGATTTTTTAAAAAAGTTTGTAACTCAAAAACTCGCGAAGTTATGATAAAAATAGAATCGTCACCTCATTTTTTCGGAAAAAAATCAACAACAAAATCTAGATCAAAATTATAAAAATAAAAACTAAGCATAATACATGTTCAGTTGGCTATATTTAGGTACTAACAATGGACTCTGCAAGTTCGAGCGGTTTAGAATGCCTAAATTTGGAAAAAAGTTAAAAATAATGCAAATTTTTATTTTTTATTTTTTAAAAAATTTTAATTTTTTTGACATAGCTCAAAAACTAAGCAAAATACGTAAAAAATGTAACAGAATAAAATTGAAGATCCTTTTTTTTGCAATATTTTTGCGCTCTTTCAATTTTTCTGTACATCTCTTTATTTCGTAGATATTACCCTTGTATATGAATTTTTAAAGTAGTTCAACCTAAGACGTTTATGGATGTAAAGCACCAGATGGCGGGGCGTATTTCACAGTCTTTTGCTACAGAAAAATATTTTTTGTTACTCTGAATTTTGAAGCGACCAATAAAAACAGAGAAAATAAAAATTGATAATTTTCGGACTGTGCCAATTGGTTACTAATCGACCAGATACTTTTTGTCCATTAGATATGCTATAAAAGCTAGTAATTATACAATTCGACCATTGTAAATACCCGACAAATTCCGCAAGGCCGACGAGGCCGATGTTTTTCCACTGATAAGAAAAAAAAATGTTTGTTTAGATAATTTTCGACATATTTTTTCTTTCTGAATGCACATTTTTAAAGTATTTTATATTCTTTGTCCCCTTAATCTATACTGGTCACACGTATCGAAGTTCTGTTTCTTCTAGTTTTAAAAAATGTTCTTATTTCTTTGTAGTTGTAGTGGTTGTAGTGTAAAATTAGATTAATTTTATTAAGTTTAATTATAATTTTTTTTTGTTTAGTGTAGAATACCACAAATACTTTAGTAGTAGTGTTTTTATAGTTTATTTTGTAGTTAAGTAGTAGGTGAAGGGATAATTTGGTTATTTTTCTTTTTGTTTGATTAATTAGTAAGTTTGATAATTTTTTCAGTGTAGAATACAAGAAGTAGTGTAGTGTTTTTATAAGAGATTATATTCGTTTATTTTGTAGATGAGTAGTAGGTGAAGGTATTTGGGTATTTTTTCTAATTGTAGTGATTCTATTAAGTATTGTGATAGATACACAACATCTTCCTTCAACTTCGTTACAAATGCGTTATCATATAATTTTGATTTTCTGGTAGTAGAATATACGAAAAAAAAATCTGATCAAATTTATTTTAAATTAAATTGATCGAGTCTTATTAATCAAATTAATCTAGTCAAATAATAATAATAGTTAGTTTCTAAATACTATACAGGGTGAGTTTCCTGCGATGTTCTCTATGGGTATCTCGGAAACTACTGGAGATAGAGAGTCGGTTAAATGGGGAAAGAATTGCAGTTTTGTGGGGTCATAAATATGCGCCTTTCGGATTTTTCAGAGAAGTTCAAGGCTTATCAGATATTTCGAAAAAAACAAATTTTGGCTATTTTAAAACTTGTCTCTAATTCCATTATATTCTACCGTATGATCGAATAAAAACGGCGTCAACGATGGCTATGAAATGAAGATTATTCGTTGTAATGTAAAATGTAAAATATGTATGGGAAAATTATATGGGAAATATATGGGAAATATCATCGATCGTCATTTCATAGCCATCGCTGACGCCGTTTTTATTCGATCATACGGTATTTTAGACAAAAAGTTTTCAGATAAAAGTTGTAGATAATCAAATACCTAATGAGTTTGTGTTTTCTGTTTTTTTTTCTACAGCCTGTCATTTTTGACATATTACACAAACATATGTTTTTTTTAAATGGAAACCATAGTTGGTGGACCATACTAGGACCATACTTCATAAAAAGCGCAATTTCTTAAGCTTTTCAGCGATATAGGTATAATAGGTTTTTTTTTAGAAAAATTACAAGTTATAGCCAATTCTTTTCTTTCTTGGCTAATTTCCATACCAATAATACCATACCAATTAGTTGGCATCAAAAATGTAAAAAGTTTTATGTTTTCAAAAAAAATATCGTAAAATTCGTAAAACACTCAAAAACACACTAAAAAGTTAAAAATAATGCAAATTTTTATTTTTTATTTTTTAAAAAATTTAGAATAAAATAATCTAAGAATGAAATGATTCTTTTATAAACCTGCATTAAATCAAATTAAAATAGGTATGTAACTTTTTTTTAAATATTAATTAACAGCAATTAGCATTATCATAAATTATAAATAATGTCGAACATATCGAAATAATAATTTCTTTGTTAATACGGTTTAGAATTCTTAAAATAACAAGCAAAAATAATCCACAATTTACAATAAAATAAAAGTATCGTTTAAATTTCTTAATCAGCTGATCACTATTAAAGTTCACAGAAACCCGGGCTATATTATTACATTACCCTGAGGAAGATAACGAAAATAATCGATATTTTTGACTCCGCCCCGAAAGGTTCACGATTTGTCCTCCAGTTGGAAGCACATTTTGTCTAGTCGGTTGAGCAACTCTAAGAATATATAAACAAGGATATTACGTTTTTTAGTTTGACTTGCCTGTAAGGACCACCTTCTTTGAGCCCTTAAAACCCAAAAATCTCGTAAAAATGAAGAGTTCAGGACTGTTCAACTATGGGGGTTAATTTGTAGCTCGTGTAATTTCCTACAAATTAATAGTTTTTATTTTTATGATTTTAGTCATATATTTTGTTGGTATTTTTTTTCGAAAAATTGAGGTGCCCATTTTATTGTTATCATAACTCCGCGAGTTTTTGAACGGAGCGAAACGTCGCATAAAAAAAAAGTTTCATCTTTCAATTTATCAAAAAAAGGAAAAGGAAAAAAAAATATATGCCAATAAATTATATTATTTTATATTTTTTTATTTAATACTTTTATTTTCAAAATTAAAAGCTAGCATAACTAAATTCTTCGAGCTATCTGTATGTTGTTTATTGCTTGCAAATTTGGGGGTTTATAAATTGTTATTGTTTATGAATTTGCACGGACACAGATAACGGCAGAGAGAGGAGTAAATAGGTACAGTGACTAGAAGTACCGCATAGGCGGGAATAGCGACACTCTGGAAGTCGGTGCCTTAGTGACAAAATGGCCGTATTTTGTCGCGGTATATCTCTGGAACGGTCGCTATTGTAACGCGACTAATGTGGAACCGGTATTCCCATCGCTAGTATATATTATATCGATTCTAGTTGTATTTTTTGTAGAATGCTTCTGGCGAATATAAAATAAATAAATAAACAATTAATAATATCGACCCAAACTAACACGGCAAGTTAAACAAAGGCTTGTAAAAAAAGGGTCAAAGGAAACCCTTAAAAATCAAATATGTGTTTTTATGTCAAATCTACTGGACTAAAACCATTTTGATATAACGAATTTAATAATAGTTTATTAAAGAAATACTTACGCTCTTCCCTCGAAAATATGTTCGCAACCGCCTGAATCATCATCACTCCAGTGAAAATGTAATTGTTCAAAACAGTAAGTATCCTTATGTAGAGGTCCTCCCACGAGGTATGGAGTAGCTCTCTCAGAAAATCGTAGAACAACTGAAAAGAAAATGTATATTTGAAAAAAAAAATAATGGGTAGTTTATAGGGTGATTCACTGCGAAGGTACGTTAGACGTTTATGGAAAACCGGTGATAATTTTTTTTTAAAAATTTGGATTTTTAGATATAGGCACTTGCTGCATTTTATTCAGAGTGTCATTTTCTATCGAATAAAGTAAAAAAATACCGATAGTGTCATTTAAAAATCAAAAGTTGCACTAATTTCCGGTGAAAAAGGAAGTGATCGAAACGAACTGAATACGTCAATCAATCCCAATTTATGTCATATTAAACCATACCAAATCTCGTTTTTTTTCTGTGAAATAATAAAAAAGTTATAGAGGCGAATCACTCTTGAAAAACACTCGGTATATTATGATCTTGGCCCTAGAAAATAATATCTTCTCTATACAGGGTGTTTCAAAACAAATGCGAAAAACTTCAGGGGGTGATTCCTTGTTACAAATAAAGGGTAGTTTGCTTTATAAACGTTGGGTCAAAAGTCAACCATTAGGGAGATATCGCGGTACAAAGATGGCGGAGAAATAAGGTTTTAATTTTTTATCTTGAAAACGAAAAGAGATAGGCTAATGAAATTTTATTTAAGCATTACTGTTATGAAAACACACTTTCTGGTAATTTTTTCACTTTTTTAAAATGAGTGGAAGGGGTTGAAATAAACTACACCTATCATTCTTGTTATCGAAATTTAAAGAAAAATCTGCAAAAAAAAATAATTTGGATAGTTTAGTTTGTTTAGAAACTTTTTTATCTCTTGTGTTTTTTTGATAAAACTCACCGATTTGAAATTAAAAAATAAAATATAAAGCATTACATGTCAGGACAAAAACATTTTTAGATAAAGAAAAAAGGCTTCGGAATAATTAATCGTAAGATAATAACGTATTGCAGTAGAGTAATATCAAATAAAATAATATTAGAAACACCCTAAAAAGTGACAGAGGCCGACTAGATTTTTTCCTAAAAAAATTACAGTAGCCCACTAGATTCTTTATCTAAAAATGTTTTTTGTCCTGACATGGTAATGCTTTACATTTTATTTTTTAATTTCAAATCGGTGAGTTTTATAAAAAAACACAAGAGATAAAAAAGTTTCTAAACAAACTAAACTATCCAAATTTATTTTATTTTTTCATGTGATTGATAAGATTTTTTCTTTAAATTTCTTTAACAAGAATGATAGGGGTCGTTTATTTCAACCACTTCCACTCATTTTAAAAAAGTGAAAAAATTACCAGAAAGTGTGTTTTCATAACAGTAATGCTTCCATAAAATTTCATTAGCGTATCTCTTTTCGTTTTCAAGATAAAAAAAAACATTATTTTTCCGCCATCTTTGTACCGCGATATCTCCCTAATGGTTGACTTTTGACCCAACGTTTATAAAGCAAACTACCCTTTATTTTGAACAAGGAATCACCCCCTGAAGTTTTTCGCATTTGTTTTGAAACACCCTGTATATAAATAAAATCAGAGAAAAATGCAATCGCGGTTTACTATAAAATGCTTCAATGGACCACAAAAGTACATTTGAAACAAAATCGCAAATAGCAACACCTAAAAATTAAAACTCGCAGATAGGAGGTTATCACGGTCCTAGTTTACAAAATCACAATCGCAAATCGCAACTAATAGTCTAAGAGCTAGCAACGTTTACGAGAAAGTATTTTAAGACGTCTGGCTCTTTGATATATCTTTTGCTATGCTCTCTGGAATAGAATGCGGCCCGTCTGGCTGCCAAAACCCGTTGCGTTTACTACTACGCATCGGAAGAAGATCCTATATTTTTTATTAATTTAGTCCTATAAATTCTAGTATTGAATATAAATCGAACATGTCTCCATAGCGCAGTGCGTAGAGTTTTCGACCACGAACCGATGATTCAGAGTTCGAATCCGGGTCAGGTCAAAGACTTTTATTTTATTTTCTTTGTCCTGACCCAGATTCGAACTCTGAATCATCGGTTCCTCTACGCACTGCGCTATGGAGACATGTTCGATTTATATTCAATACTAGAATTTAAAGGACTAATAAAAAATATAGGATCCTCTTTCAATGCGCAGTAGGGAACGCAACGTTTACCGGCAACCAGACTAAAAGATATATCAAAGAGCCAGAAGTCTTAAAATACTTGTTTTACCGACGTTGCTAGCTCTCGTACTATATAGTAATATTGGTTGCATAAATTGAAACTCGTAAATGGAAGAAATCGCAGTCGCAGTTTCCTATGAGAGCCAATTGCAGGTTGGAATTGCGATTCTAAAATCGCTGCGATTGAATCGCAGTTTACGATTTATTGCTCATCTCTACTAGTAACCATACTTTTAATTTCTTACTTCATTTAACTTCATTTAAATTATTAGGTACAAAGAAAAACTAGCTAGCTGATCTCGTTCTCTACTCAGTCTAATTTTTTTTAAACCAAATCCAATTTGATATACAGTGACGGCAATACACCCATTTTGAAGAAATTTTAGACTAGAATTTTTAGTTAAAAAGTAAACCAAACCAAAGCAAACTATATCACATTTTAATCTCTTCAAGGTTTTGAAAATAATGACTAATCTTTGTAGGATTTTCACACAAGAGATAATATAGATCAAGAGCAGTTCAAATTAGGTGAATATCTTTCTAACAACATATATTGTGTTTGTAGCAAAAATTTTTGTGTATCATGTTTTTAAACAGTGATATAATCGCTCAAAGGTCGTTAGACTAATTTAGTTGTCGTAAATCGGGTTAAGAAAGCTTTATAACTGAAGTCTGAGTATATAAGTAGACATTTAAAAAGTAAACAAATATTTGTCGGGTGTCGTCTCGCGTGATTTTTATCAGTAAGCACATTCAACCAAATCATATATTGTAAGTGCTAATAAATAGTATTATCACCATCTGTATTATCTCTCGCACAACCTTTAAGGTATTTTTTCCAACAAATGTTTATTGATGTTGAATGTTGATAAATAAAATGTTACCTTATTGCACCACTTGTGTTTTCTTAATTAGATATTGCGTTTTGTACCAATTTTCAAATATAGAGAATCATTTTTCCGTAAATTCTTTTTTCTATAAAACGATGAGAGCCATTACAAATAGTCGCAACACACATTCTTTGTGCTTAAAGTGTTTACAAGTAATAAAACTTAAATCATTAAATTTCAGAAACAATGAATGAAGACTGAGGCGGATTTTTGGATTATTTTTATATTATCCTATAAAAAAGATAAAAGTTGTTAGGTGCGATTCTCACTAAATATAACGCCGCCGTCACGTCAATAAAAAAAATAAAAATTGCCAATAATGAACATATTCCCACTACCCGTAACGACGCGACGTGGCAACATCCGTCTCCCATTCATGTTTTCTGTCAAGACGGTTGGTGGCTCGACGTGACGGTGACGGTACGTTATAGTCATTGCCTGGAAACTTATATGGTGAAATTTTGATAAAATAATTTAGTACACACTAAAAACACGGTATGTCGCTAGTGGTAGGGTGTTTCCTAATTAATCTAAAAAATAAAAAAAAATCGTTATAAAACGAATTAAGGCGGGCTCTTAATAAGTATATTTATTTTTTTCTCGACAACCGTTTGATGAATAAGAAAAACTCAAAAGATCAATTTTGTTGAAAAAGGATGGTCAGTCAAGAAAAAAATATATTTTCTTTAAAAAAGCAGTGGTGTACCATTTATGTTAAGCAAAAAAATCGATTTTTTTAATTTTTAACACCCTGTAGATCAGAAAGGAAGTACTTTAGACCCAATGGTTATATAAAAATTGTTTTAAGAACACATGAGGAATCACACCATAATTTTTTAGACTAATTTGAAAACACCCTGTATATTGTCAACTTGACAATGACTGCTGATAAATCAAAAAATACCTTTTCCGTGAAAAAAGCCTAATTTTCGCAGGAAAAATTTTGATTTTTATTGAATTTGGGCCTGCGTTTGCAAACACTCGTTTGTTTTTTAATTTTCTATCTATCTAAATTTTAAATATCATAGTCAGAAATAGTTTTATTATTTATTAACTGTAAAAATGGTGTTTTCTTGTTGTGTTGCATCTTGCAAAGAAACTAACAAAACTGCAAAAATGTACGTGTTTCCAAAAGACGATAAGGTATGTATCTTAGATAAAAGAAAAATATATGGTATGTATTCGTTGTTTGATTTTTTTTCGTTCGCTTTAAAATCTATAAATCTCAGTCTATTCATTAGACAGCCAGTCGACTTACGATCATTTATATGAAACTCTGTAAAATAAATAAAAAAATAAATTGTAAAATATATATATTCTTATGTTTTATTAAAGTTACTCTGACATACTAATATATCAGTGTAACTTTAAAAATAAATCCTTTGAATTCAAATATAAACATAAAAAACATTTTCAGCAGAAAAGGCGAAGGCGCTGGGTTAAACGTAGTCTCCACTAAAAACACGGAGGGGCGCTTTGACCCAAAATTTTACTATTATGTTTCATATCTATCTTAATAGTAGATTATTTTCTTTTATCTATGGTTATAGTGATTATACAACTCTATGTATATTTTCCCTATAATATAGAAGGATGTGATTAATAAGTGATAATCATTTAAGTGACTATCGCTTTGTGGCCATATTGTAATTGTCATTTTTTGAAATATTAATTCAGAAGTCATTTCTGTCAGTTCCACAAAATATCCCGTCAATTCTTATTACAAAATGGCAAAATAAGAAGGATATTTCGTCCTATTGCTGCTAAAAGTCACTAACATTTTACCGAATAATCTGAAAATTCAATTACTAACTATATTTTGAAGCGGAGAATCGATTGAAAAAGCCATTAACTACGATATCTGGCTATTTATGCTGTACTTTAATTCTGAATAGTTACTAACAACAACTTTATGCAATGCAATTAATCTTTAGACGCGTTTTTCTCGGAAGTAATAAAAAGTAAGTTAGTGACTTTTGGCAGCAATGGGACGATAT